AACGAGTACATAGACGTAGCTGATGTAAGTTGTGTAAGGTAGCTTTCGGAAGAAGTCGTGAATTGATATCTTGTGCTTTAGGGCCACATAACGGCTCCACCGCCTAGCTCTTCGTTTATGTAAGTTTGTATGGCTGTTGAAATAGGTTTTTGTTTAACTTAAGTGAATGAAATGAGTCATCGATTATAGCGAAGGTCCTCATTTGGAAACTCTGCACTTGTCCGAAGTGACGGTGAACCCTCCAAATGTGAAGGTGGGCCCGGAGGATTTCGAATTGCTACGGGTTTTGGGCAAGGGTGGCTATGGCAAGGTGTTCCAGGTGCGTAAGATCACCGGAAACGACGCGAACAAGATTTTCGCGATGAAAGTGTTGAAAAAGGCGACCATCGTCCGTAACCAGAAGGACACGGCCCATACGAAGGCGGAACGTAATATTCTGGAAGCGGTGAAGGTACTAATGCCTAAAACTTTTTACGTCATGCTTAAATTTTCATCGCAGTAATGCACATGCGATGTTTTGCTTGCGCAGAACGACGGCTTCGTCCTCCGCTGACTTTCATTTGTTACTTTGTTATAAAATAAATCTGAATTATGTTTGTGGGCAAACCACAACAAGGCTTTAAAGTTTAAAGTTCTTGACCCCGTAATTTCCTGTTTAAATGCAAATTCTTGAGTATAATTTCGAGTAGTGTTTCTGAAGTCTTTCCGCGTTACATTCTTGATTCTCGATGAGGTTTTAAGCGACTGTTGTACTTTTTGCGTTTTACCGACAATATTAATCTTTGTTAGTATCGAAGATTGTCGGTGAGAAATCAAAGCTTTTTGCATGTTAAGTACATGACACAGTGTGTTGATTCATGTGTAAGATATGAATTTGTTCAAATTACAGGTAGCGTATAAGTTTTGGTGCAGGACCAAGCTTTCGGGTGATGTTACTTCTCCCCCCTTCTCAACCGCAAACAATATAATGTACGGAGGTACGATAATATGAGATTGTTAAGGTGTAACTACAATTGCTCTTTGAAGTTAGCATAAATTTCGCCATTACGCAAAATACGAACAGCTTCATCTCTGTTCACGTTGATTTTGGTTCGTGTCTGTATGAAGAACATTCCAGCAAATAAACCCTCTTTGTGATATACAATCGTTGTTACTGTACTTGGATAGTTAAAGTCTGCGCTGCGTCTGGCAGAAACAGGGAGAATTGCTGCTGCTAGGTTTTTCCAACATGAAATGCATGCAATGAAAGCTGGTTTGCTTAGTGAAAGTTGGTTCGGTGCCGATAATAAATCAATCAAAGTTCATAAATGATCGAATATTAAAGAAAATTTGTAGTCAGATGTTGAAAATACTTGATGATTTTGCGCCTCACGATGAGTTCTGAGGATTGGATGGTTATACGTAGGAACATAGGCGACTGATGACGATTTTTCGCCTCTGTGACATTATCTGTATCTTCAAAAATTCTATCGTGTATCTAATGTAGAAGAAATGATTTTTCCCTGCATGACTATTTGCTATGTCTATTTATAATTGTACAGTTTCAGTATTTCTACACATCGAATTTCAGTCAAAATATTGTCCCCGTCTAATTACAGTCCAAACTGGTGATAAACTTGCTTGAGCAGGCATACCTTTGAAAGTCGATGGTTTTGGTGGCATAGTTTAAAAAGCTTTTTACATCAGATCTTTCTTCGCGATTGTATTTTATGGTGTGATTATCGTCATCTTTAGCAGGGTTGCAGACCTACAAGTTGTTGCTTGTGACTCCTGATATCCTCTTATCTAAACGTTTCACATTTTGATATTAGTAACAGTCGAAAGATTCTTTCTCGATAACAGATCTCCGTTTAATTTTCTTTGCCAAGTGATATGATGACTGCCAGTTTTTCCTCGCCATGTTTCGGCTTATAGCTCTACAGTTGTCAAGCCAGCGAAGCTTAATCGCTTACTTGCAGGTAGTCAAATAATCCCAACGTTTCGTCTCTGAGTAACTACGAGATTGGTTTGAGATTGGTCAGTGCAAGAATTTGGTCGTTCCTCATGATTCGGCCGATGGATGTTCAGCATGTACTCTAATAAAAGCTGGTGGAATGTTGAGTTGAAAAATTTCTTTCAGATAGAGCTGATAAATATTAGAATTAATTAATAAAGCGCTTGAAGAACTGAAGGGGCGAAGTAAAGCTGAATATGGTTATATCGTTTGATGCGTGAACTGTTCAAAATAACGTCATTTCAGTAATTACTACCAAGTTCACTTCAGGTTTGACTACTTAATCTGCTGCTGTTTGCCATTTTGACTACTGTTGCTTTATCGAAAGTAAACATGAAAACGTTGCTTTGAAAATGACAACCGTCGACTCCAACCGTAGGATCAGAAAGAGAATATGATGGGGCAGCAAGAGTTTTCGGCTGCATAAATTAAATTTATTTTTTGAAGGTAGCTTTTGCTAAGGAATTCCATTTTTCGGTAGTTAAACTAAAATAAAATACTAAACGTATCAAGTGAAAAAATTTGTGGACGGAGCAATCGGTGACGAAAGAAGAAAAGCTTCAGTCATGTCTGAAAACTGTAGAAGAATGGATGTTAGGAATTTTCCTCGTCGACCTTATCCTCAGCGCAGAAATCAGACTGCAAACCGTACCGAATGATGTCATCACATACAGCTAGTTGCGAAATGCGATGGGTTCTGTACGCAGCTCGGTTCACTAACAATTGATGATGACTGCTGTCTAGATGATTCCCACGTAATTGTTAACAGCTACTAGGTCACTCATAAGAAAAATATAGCGATTTCATCTCTGGCTTACAAGAACTATTATAGCCAAGGAAGGCCAGAATGAGAGATTAGCGGAATAAACGTTTGATCGGTGCAACCTCTCTGGTGGCTGAATACCGGTAACTCAAGCTGATCCAATGACAGAAGATAAATTACTGGAACAGAAAACATCAAAACTTCCTTCGAAAGTAAACTGAGCTCAGAAGAAATGGGCAAAGTTAAAACTAATACCTAAAGGTTGTATCTCCAGTAGCACGAGGTAGTCCACCTGGTGACGTCCTCTCAAGGTTCCCGCCCGCTAGAGAAAAAAATGCGACGACTTTATAATAAAACACTGAGTTCCATCCATTGAAAATTTTTCGATGGGCTCTCGTACACAGGTTATTTGTTATAACCGAGTATCTCGAAGCTGATTCGACGATCTTGAGGTATCTCCATAATTGTGCATGCATGTATGAATTGTGTCTCTGACAGGAAAGTCGTCACATCTGGCAGTCTAAGGTCCTTAGCTTAACATAACAGATTATTTGCAAATACATGCCCATTTACTTATGTCTGTCTACAGTAGATGATTGATAAAAATGATGCCGAAGAATACTGTTCGCCATAAAAGCAGTGTGGTTCTGGATAAGGCAGACCCCCTTATTGACCCAGTCTCTCTCCTTAATGGTTAGAAATGTATACATATACTACTGGGCATTCTGCTAGTTTACATATTATTTAAATACCTTTTCAAGAATGAGACACGGTTTCATCAGTTAACATTCGCCCCCTTCTTACTGACTGATTAGGAACCCGCCTTTAGCGATCATCAGTACGGTAAGGGTTGAATGACGAGTACCACTGTTTTGTGGCATGAATACCTGGCTCTGTCGTTATGTCATTGCACTGTATTGCAGTACAGACAGAAGAACGTGACTTTAGATCATGGTGGTTGTTTAAAACAAATAAAACGGCATCTGTGAAATGAAACGCGCCTCACCTTTTATCGAACCTGCTCAGCAGTATGCTTAAGCGAAGTTGTTTTCCATTTAATAAGGTGGTTCTTAAATAACTTCCTGTTATTCTAGAACAAAAATTTACATGTACAATGTCAGGGCCTCTGCTTGAAAAGCGTTAAGCATATCTTTGCTTTTCGACTTTTCAGACTTCAATACCAACTGCTTTCTGCCATTAGAAAAACAAGGAACGAAGATTATCTCGATATATTTGCACCAGAGTACAAGTCTGCAGTGGTTCTTCTTTTGTGGTATTAGATTTGTGGAATTTAATATATGGCATTCTTTCGTGGGTGATGGGAATTTGCCATTGGCACCAGCAATATTTTATTAAACCTGTGTGGTCATCGTCATCACCGTGATCACTGCGACGATCATCTTGGTGATGATGATCATGAACATTATTATCATTATGATCATCGTCATCATAACTATAATGGGCATGAACATAACTTTGATTGTCACCATAGTAGTGATGATGAATAAAATAATGCTCTTTTGTGACCGCCATGATGATAGTCATGATTGCTACGACTACAATGTTCATAATGGTGATAGTGATAATAAACATTATTGTGCTCATTATTTGTACAGGTTGAGTATCCCCTGTCCGAAATTCCGGAATCCGGAGTATTCCGAAATCCGTAACATTGTTCGAGCTCACTTTTCAGTCTTGAGTTATTTGAAATATCTTTGGATAATATGAACAACCGTCGTAATGCCCTTCCCATCAACTTTCCATCGACATTCATACCTTCGGATACCTGACCAATCAGAACAGAGCCTCCCTCCGTTCCTAGGGAAAGTCGGATGGTTAAGCGATATTGGAAGTTTTCGACGTCCCATTCGTGCGCACATTTTATCACTCATTTTTTCTTAAGGGTTAAAAGGGAGAACTCTATTTTCATGCACGCTTTTTATTATGGAAACAGCCCGTTAATTAGTAATTTTCACCCTATCTTCTTTCCTATTTCTCAGCCCCCTCTGTTGCAATCTGTATAAGGTGTATAGAAATGTCTTTCTGTACCTGATTATGTTGTACTGCAGCGAAACCGTTTCAGTTTGTGGAATAATACTTTCTTTTTCTTGTTATCTGTAACGAGCTGCTACGTCGCTCTCAAGAATATCCGTAACTTTACTCGCAGCAGACAGCCATTTGGGATAGGAACTCATTATTTTGGGCCATAAATATTTTTATTCAAGGGAAGCAGATTCGTTATTTTTGTGTTCAGGTATAGAATTTGGGTTAGAAAACGTGTTAAATGGTTTTTAATAGTTTACAGAATTTTGTGACCCGTTATGAGTTAATTGATTCCAGTTTCCTTATAAGCACGCTTCTACCGAATGGGACGTTCCTGTTTCTTAACACAGCTGTGTCTTGGGTGTAGAGTAAAGCGTCAAGCATTGTCATAGCGAGATTTCTGTAACTACCGCCAATTACTAATTGCCAATTTCTCTCAATTTTCTTGAACTCCACCTTATCATGTATTCCAAAATCTGGAAGAACCCAAAATCTGAAATTAATTTTTGTGCCAAGCGTTCGGATTAGGGATACTCAACCTGTACAATGATGGTAATCATAATTATGGTCGCTGTCGTCACCGTCATCATTACTTTTGTAATCGTCATAAATGTGGTTAATATGAAGATAACTATGTCATTTTGTTGGTAACGGTGAACAAAACACTGTTTATTATCATAATCGCCATGATGATTGTCATAACTTTGTTCATGATTATCATAGTCATGATAAAACAGTTTATACCGTTAGTTAAACACATGCTGTGAAGATGGAATGCATTGAGAGGTTCGTTTGAAGCCAAGAAGCCTGTTACGCGATAGGCCACCGTATTGCTGATGTCATCAAACGTGAACCTGACTTGAATTCCGTTAGTGTTATTGTTACGCGTTTGGTGGCAGTGGAGCAGAATTAAGTCCTCTATCTTTGCGCTTTGTAAACGAGGGTTCGTACCGTAGTATAAAATTTTCTTTGTTTAAACTACTAAGTCCATTGAGTACAGAACGCAGTCACTTGTGTTCATCCGTTGCAGCCAGTCGACAAACGGATAGCAAATGGCTGATTTGCGAACAGCAGAGGCAGCATCATTTTGTGATATGATTTATACCAAGGAATGGGAGCCCGGAGACCATCTCTGATGCATACGCTCTATGGCTGCAATTATTTTTGACCAACCTTACACTTAAATCAGGCAACCTGGTATGATCAAGGAATATTATAGCTTAAAATAGCTTATCTAGTACAAATAGAACCACGCTTCTACTTGCCATAGTTTTCGTCAGCTAATTTACTGATTCGTGGTGACTCATCGTATACATGGCGAATCTTGTAATAATCGTGTTAGAATTGTTGTAAACGTGTTTACATCCGTTGAAGCATGCGTGTATATGACGGTGCTTGTTCATCTGATACTGATTTCAGTTTAGTCCTCCTTGTAACGAACTTTTCTAACAGTTTCTTGCCTTGAGTGTTGTTTTTAACACAGTATTTTGGACGCAGTGGTAGAACGACTTAACAGGACTAATAAACGTTTGCTACCTCCTACATTTCGACCGTACAGTAGCTGTTTTTTGCAGGTAAAAAACTAATCCTACACAGCGGCTATACAACACGACTTATGTTGGGTAAACGAGATCGTAGTGGGCTCCCTGTTCGTTGGTATGCAGTAGCAGTTGACTAGTAATGTGCCCTTATTTCTAATAGTCAGCCAAAAATATTACCATTCTCTGGTTTATGATAAATCCCCAAGGTGTGGATAAAGAATGAATGATTGAAAAATAGTTTACTGTTTGCATGGGATCGCCAAAGAATTCTTTTTTTCAGCAAAGCAAAATAGAAAAGCAGAATCCGAAATTTATATATGTCACAGAGCAGAATTGCACTTCCGACGCTTCGGACTAACAAACTGAAGTATATTACAACAAACGAACCATGCGTGAAATAATTATAAGCATAAAAATTTTAATAGAAACAAACTAGAATAAGACTGTCGTATTGAACAGATTCAAGTTTTGTTGTTTAAAGTATGTAAAACGTAGCAAAACGCGCGTTGAAGCTGAGATTTAGCAGATCTTCGGTATAATTTTGTGCTGGCAAAAAACCGATGTACCTGGTTCTAGTTGATAAAACTTGTGACTGACATTTACGAAAGTCTGTAGAGCATGGATGACTGCTGTTGTACAGAACGATGTTCTTACCCATGCAAGTACAGTGAGAGATCGTTAAATCAGCCACGTACCTCAAGTAGTCATTTGTGAAAAGCCACTGGGTTTAGCGGTCATTTCTTAACGCAAATGTGAATAAATTGGTAGTGTGCATTAAAGAAAAATTTTTGATGACATCTTGTGGCGCTTGAAAGTTTTTCAGATGCTTTACATAAAGTCAGTTCTTAGAAACACCTAATCATAAGTGATTGATTGTACGTTTGCGTGTCAAGTAAATTCAGACGACAAAAGACTAAATATTTGACAGATTGACATGAGGCTAATTGATTGCTGTGGATGTGATGAAAAGTTGGGAGTGTTGAATTGTTCGTATTTCTCCTGATGCAGACCCATTCTGTAGTTTTAGATGAGTTTGAAAGAAGACCATTATTAGAGAAAGGATATATACTTCCGACACCAGTCACAGTTCTCCGACTATTTCACAAATCACAGTGTTCAGGAAGTTTATTGACTCCGGCTATCTTATATTCACTTATCTAACGTTTAAATGTTTGAAATATCTTTCCAAAATAAATGCAATTACATTTATTGCAATTCATAACGATAAACAGCGTTTTTATACAAGTGATACTTACGATTTTTTATGTCACTTATAAAGTACTGAGCCTAAAGTTAGAGAACCACTGTACTTTTTTGTATACCGGAAGCCCACCCAATTCAATAGGCATTTAAATCCGGTTTCCTGCACTCCTCATCAGTCTTTATGTTAATATTCTGAAGTTCTTCCTTGTTATAGAGCTCTTAAGTGTTTGTTGTGAAGGAATTGAAACAGTTTTTTGTTTCAGTTCATGATAATGGCCATGCTCGTCATTTAATTACATTGTTATTTAACCATGAAAAGTAAGGGCCGCTTCATCGAATGATGTTAGCAATTCAGTCACTGTTTTTTTATTCCTGAATATAAAAGTTCTGGGAAGATCTGTATTGGCTCTTGAATCTGAGTGTTAGTGCTGAGTGAATTTTCGATGTCCTTGTAGTAGATTTGCTTAGGCTGTGGATAATTGCGTGCACAGTATGTGTTCATGGTTATAGTAAGTAGTTTTCCTTCAAACCATAGCTCCATTCTTGTGCTTCCACGTCTGTTAATATTTCCGCTGATACACTAATATTAATCATCACAGGAGTTTGCTAGTTTATGGATATTTTGGAATAGTCAACAGGGAATTTTAGTAATAATCAGCAAACTACCCTCTTTTAAATTCTGATCACATTTTTACAGAGCTGTTTGAAATTTGTCACCTAGTTCTGCTGTGTACTTTCGATTTTTCTATAACTTTACGTCATGGAAGGTGCGAATTGGTTAATCAAAGCTCAGTGCCGTTCTGCTTCAGAGTAAGCTATTGTATTGTAGAGCCCGTTCATCGTCGACCTGATGTATGCCTTTCAAACTGGTGGTAAACTCTATTTGATCCTTGAGTATCTGAGCGGCGGAGAACTGTTTATGTACCTGGAACGCGAGGGGATCTTCATGGAAGACACAGCGTGGTACGGCAACAGAGCTGATTTCGTCATCGTTTTATCTTCCTACTTGTCTCCTTTCAGCTTCTACTTGTCAGAGATCATCTGTGCACTCGCGCACCTTCATCGCGGCGGCATCATTTATCGTGATCTTAAGCCGGAAAACATTCTCCTGGATTCGAAGGGTAACACGACGCGAGGTGTGACTGACCTGTTCGTTGAATATTCTCTGCTGATCCAGGTCACGTGAAACTAACTGATTTTGGTCTGTGCAAGGAGTCGATCGAGGGTGACGCGATGACCCATACGTTTTGTGGCACCATCGAGTACATGGCACCGGAAATACTTATGCGAACCGGTCACGGAAAGGCGGTCGACTGGTGGAGTCTCGGTGCTCTTATGTACGACATGCTGACTGGCGGGGTAAGTCGCTCTGAAGCTCTAATCAATTTAACTTTTGAAAATATGTCAGTTTTATGAAGAGTCGTAGAATAAGAAAGTGTTAGGATTACCCATACTTCATGTTAATTAAATATTTAATTTTTGGCATAACGTTGTTTGATCTACTTTAATTACTTTTTGTCCACGCATGAGTTTCAGAATTTCTACTATTTAAAAATTTAATGTTTGAAAATTGTACGTTACTTAGCTAAAATTTGATTTCAGAGCATATTTTAAGAATCCACTTTTTGGCACCTGCGTTAATTACTATTTCACACCGTTTTAACATTGTTTAGCCTCCATTTACGGCTGAAAATCGCAAGAAAACGATTGACAAAATATTGAAAGGAAAATTGTCGTTGCCTCCATACCTAAGCATTGAAGCTCGGGATCTTATAAAAAAGGTAACCGATTTTCTTCTCATTTGTTGTTGCTCCTAACTTGTTCATAGCTCCGTTAAAAGAGCTGTTGTTCAGAGCATTTAAACACTGTGTACAATACATTGTATTTATAGATGGTTTAACTACGATCGCCAGATAACTTAACTTTTCACCATAACAATGATCTGCAGTAACATATGAAAATGCTTGTAAAAGCCTGAAATGTGTTAAGAATCATATCGTTTTACGTGAGAAGAACCGAGTCTCAGGACCAACCTGTCTGTGTTCAAATCGATTCTCGTTCCTATGCTAAGGTTTATTTGAGTCGTAGGCCGCGGCTGATAAACTTTAATCTTGGGTACAAGCGGCTGAAACAGGCTTTCTGGTGCAAATACTTCCACAATGGAGAATGAAACGCCTACCGAGCGGCTGAAGACCCCGAGGACGACCGAGAGGAGCGTTGGTACCTATATACGGAAGGATTTTGCTGCAGACTCGGATTATTTTCTGCTTAAGTTCAAATGCTGCCACAGAATCAGGAACGCTGCAGATACTCTCTGACGTATTGGCCTCCGCGACAAAGGATAGACGGCTATAGAACCTGACTGACATTTGGCCACCAGTTTGCAGGGTACCTTGACCACTGTCCCTATAGGATTAAATGACCGGTGGTCGTTTGGTCGTAACCTATTTCACATCCCATCCCTTCCAGTCACGGAGGAGATGCATTAACCCTTGGCAAACCGGTGATAACGTGCTAAATTTCAGGCACTCGAACCCTGCTTTAGAATTTTGCTGCAGAGGCACTGTTGATGAAGTCGGGATTAGCTTGCTACTTAAGCAGTAGTTGAAGATTTCTAAACAGCTGAAATTTATGAATTATCTCACGATTTATTGACCATATGTCTAACGCCACAGGTGTGCCCGCTAATACATTATTTATCCCTTTACTGCCCTGAAAGAATGGCGATTGCATCAGGTTACGCATGTGCTGAAACGTCCACCGAATGACATTACTTTCATGGCAGTGAATGCTACCTTGATCTTTTAAAACCTGGGACAAGGTAAGACCTTGTGGGACACTGTTATAACCGCAGCTGAAAGTCCATATTTACCGGCAGTGTAGTGGTACAAATGTTGGAAAAAGTCTTAAGTTGGTGAGGATGTTCCGCTTGCTCGACAGAGATGGAAAGCACCAGTCTGGAACGTCACTCAAACGTCTGTTTCAATGGTGGCAAGAGTCGTAAAAACAGCAAAATCGAAGCCCTTGTTTCACCTGAAGCAGCTCTCATAACCTGTTCATTCTTTAACGTAGAATAATATTTTAAAGAATAATGTGATGAATATGGTCTGACTTGCACGTGATATGTGGCACAAAGCGTTTTGAAGAAATACTACAGAAAAAGGCAGAATGGGTAGAAGAAATGGAAAACAAAACGGAGGGGAAAAATTAGCGATATAATAGCATTATTAGGGATAGGACTCCAGTTCTCTTTGAAAGACATATTTTAAATTTTTTGGCCGGACCGGAGGATTTGATATTGTCAGATTCCTGACATACGACAGGCTACATTCTACGGTCTTTAGGCGCTGTAATCAGTTCTCTGTGTTATCAGTTTTAAATTATATAATTGCAGAATGTTTTGCCTGTTCATCTTCGAAGGCTGCTGTGTCTTTCTTCACAGAAGTTTTGACCGGTTTTTCTTCATTCCGATGTATATTTTTTGATAATCTTTACAGTTTATTTGGTTAACTGCCCAGATTTGGAGTGAATACTTCATTGTTAAGGGCATGGGTGGAAATAAATGCCCGTTAAATGGTAAAGATATAGTTTTTGTTATGTTGTGCAGGAAAGTGAAGGTTATAATTAGGATGTGACAGATGGCTGTGAAGAATACTGCTATTGCGATGAAAACTTGTAAACATGTATAAAATTTTCAATTTTGTTAGAAGAAAATAACTCTTCGGTGCATACTGATGAGCAAAATACTGAAGTGCGGGTGAAAGCTGCTGAACTGCAGTACTGTGCTAGTCAGTTGTTCGTACGCCGGAGTATAACAAGTGTCGAGTGACTCACCGAAGGCCAGATTTCTGACTAAGTTACTTATGTTTATGAGGTTGCATATGAGCGGTAGGAGCGCCAAAAATACCTTTCTGTTGAACGCGCGGTTGATCTGGTGGATAAACTTATGTGAAATGCCTCTAGTTTTGCTTTTGCTCAAATATCACGGTGCGTGACCTACTTAAATGGTCCCCTATTCAGTTAGGACCTAGGAGGCGTTGCAGTACGCAGTGTAATCTTGTCTTGGATGACTCATTCGTTATTTGACATACTCGAGCGTATGAACCGCTTATGTTGCTGATGTTGGGGATTTGAATACAAAGGATAGTTTTCGAGAAGATGTGGTAGAACAACATGCGTGTTTCTTCTCCGAATTTGTTGATGAGGTTTTACCACCGTGACGATGTTATATAATTTAAAAAGACTTAGGTCTCTGAAGACAGTTTCATTCCGCTTCCGAGTGAATCCCAGTAGGGAAAATTTAGAGAAATACAGTTATTTCTCGATTTTTTGGCGGTCTTGACTTCTTAACCATTCGTGTTCTCTTCGCTTACCATATACTCTTCTATTGCTTTATATTTTTGTATTTAAAGTATTATTCGATTTCGTCATAAATTTTGTTGTCCATGCTTCATCGACGCCTGTATCTGCTTGCAGGCAAATTTTTTAAAATTTGATTTCGTAGTTAGCGATTGTCGTTTCAGCTTTTGAAACGTCACGTACAAAGTCGTCTTGGCGCAGGACCGGAAGACGCTGAGCCCATTAAGAGTCATCCGTTTTTCCGGAACCTTATTTGGGACGCGGTTCAGGCTCGATCCTTGGAACCTCCTTTCAAGCCAAATATCGTAGTTCTATTGCTTATAACCGCTGCTATGACGCGTGAATGTATTTTTTTCTCTTCGAAGGTTTCTGACGAGGATGCCAGCCTGTTCGATACCAGATTCACAAAGATGACCCCTGTTGACAGTCCATGTGATTATTCGCTGTCGCGAAGTGCAAATCTAGTCTTCGAAGTAAGCATTTTAATCTTTTACTTCAGTCGTTGATCTTCAGGCGATATTTTCTCTCCACGTTCAGGGCTTTACGTACGTCGCCCCTTCCGTCTTAAACGAACTCCATAAACCGAAATTAGTAAAAGCAATTTCACCTAGAAAAGTCAGACTTTTAAGCGACGAATTTTCAAAGGCGTCCGAAACCGAGGCAGAATATCCTGAGGCAATGGACGTCATTTCCGCTGAACAGAAGTATGCTTTTATTTCTGTTATTCTGTGAAACGTTCATTGTAAGCTAGTGCAGCGTTGCTATTATCCGTCAGTTTACCCCTACTGTCGTGAAGCGAAAGCGATATGGTCACTTGTATATATTACTCTACCACTTCAAAACAGTAGTCCATGCGTACCGGTATAGACTGAAATTAAGTCGCAGTTCACTCCATAATTCAGTTTAATTCAAGCCTGAATACTGCGTTTTTACTGAATTGCTACGAATCCTACCCGTAACGTTAAGCTTCAGCATTATCTTCTGCGTGTTTAAGTTTACACCGTGGCTTTTATGTAGGCCAAGACTTAGACAGTAATGCGGTGAAGATTATGCGTTGTCAATCCGAACTGAAAACAAATTAGTCCCAGTCCATGCCGATATGAACAGAAATGCAGTTTATTTTGATTTTACTCTGGTGTGGCCGGATTACCCATTTGAACTCAATGTTATGTTAGCAGACCTGACAGAGAAGACCGCTTTTATTCATAATTACTGCCAATGTATTGGTAAAATCATACTGGCCATCCTCAGTACAATCAGTCATTCAAATCAGCAAAATCCATTTGCCTTACCGATGTTCCTTCGCTGAAACGTTGCCAGTATAACGTAAGCTTTGATGTAAATCCTGCACTGAATCTGCGAAACCGAATAATAAACATATCGAAGAAAATACGTAATCCAAACGAGCCTTCAAAAGCATAAGGTTGCTCTGCTATGCCAATCCCAGTTACACGTCTAGACATTTCCGAGATACTTCCATGATGTTTCCTGCTGAACTCCTGTCCTTAATTGTATCTTATGATCCGAGGCTGTCATCAACCATCAGTACGTTATCTTAAGAGACAATCACTTACTTCCATGTGCTCGTACGCATTTATCTACGTTTGAACGAAGAAAATGACATGTATTTCAAACGATGAATTTTTGACATAGTATGCAACTGAGCTGGAACAACAGACCGTTTATGACCTTTTGCTACTGCGCATTCTTCTCGATAGGAAGGAAACAAATTAATATTTAGAAGTCAGAATGAGTAAACCCATAGAAATTCACTTGTATTAAGTTCAAGAAACTCTGTTTTCTTAGCCATTAAAGTTGCGCTCAACGAAAAATTGAGTATGTTCATTTTCTGTCAAGCATTTCTCAGTAACATTTATTCATCTATCTTCTGTACGATAGGCAAGGGAAACTACAAAAGTAACTCACAACAAATATTAATGAAAATGAGTAACAGTATGTGAAATGTTTATGCTATTTTTTGAAGTACTTAGGGCTGACATTGAGGCGCTTGCTTTAGGTGTAAGCAGATTAGGACTGGTTCGTAATGTCCTTTCAGAATCTTACTGTTTGATGTAACATAACTCTTATAGTCTTGTTAAGAATAAAGTGTAAATTTTACGCTGAGATGATATCAAGTAGACACTAATTTGTTATTTAATCAAGGACACTTTAATAATTCTTAATCTTTATTTTCATTAAATTTTCTTTCCCTTTAGTTCAGTACCTCCTTTTCCCCTTGTTTTTCTTTTTTTTTCAATTACCTACTTTTCATCTCGTCACCTTCCTCACCTTTTTCTTTTTGTTGTACCTACCCATTTTCGTTTTGAATTTCGTTATCTTCCTATTTTTTCTTATTTTTCTTTCAGTCTTTTTTATACAGCCAGTTGTTGCATCACATTATTTCTGTTCTGCATGTTTCTTTTCATCATTTCTCATCGTTTGCCATTTTGACTACTTCATTCTTCATAATTTTCTGCCTCCCCTTTATCTGTTACTGTTCTTTTCTTCATATTTGTGTTTTCTATTTCAATTTTTTCCTTCCTTTTTCTAATTCCTCATGAGTTCTCTTGTCACTCCCTTTCTCACTTTCCTGTTCGGTTTCCTTTATTTTTCCATATTAAATTCTTAAAGGAATTTAGGTTGGACGTTTTCTCTTCAGCACTTTCATATTCGAATATAGTTTCTGCTGTGATTCCTAGATTTCTGTTTGATTCTTTAAAGGTGTTAGGTTACCGTTTGATATGGGAGCATGTAATGTTCTCGCCAACCCTACGATAATGCGTTCCTCTCAACAAGCGTTGAGGTAACGTAACGACAGTTAGAATAGAAAAGACTTTATGTTGGCCAAAGCGTGACTCCACCCTTATTACAGATTCACTGATGGGGTGTTTCTAGCTTCCTGTATCCCTTGCCTTTTAAAGGCAGCTGAATAACATATTTATCGATCGTGCCATCTGTCATCGAAATTCTTGCCTTTTGTCTATAGAGTAAAGGATCGAATAACCATCAAACGATTCAGATGCAGAAATTCAAGAATTTACTTCAGTGTTTTGTGGAAAGAAACCACTAACTCCGAAATGACTTAATTGTCACATACTCTAATCATATTCTTATCTGTTGAGCAGAGTCAAAGAAGAGATCTGGTTATTCGAAATTGTTGCTTACAGCGATTTGCTACTGTTCGTAAACTCCTACAAAACCAGGTGTTACAGTGTCACACCGCTCCCTTGCTTGTAGTTGTGTAGAGGATCATTTAAGTGATAATTATTCCGCGGTACTTGTGCACCTGCTGGGAAAGTTGAACTATTTGGTTCCTCATTGTGACTTAACAAGCAACTTCTTAGGAGCTGATTAACTCCCTAAATGTTACCGCATCAGTGACAAAGTATAGTTCCGTACCCCAGAATATATTAAGTAGATCATTATTCTTTCAAGATTAGACGATGTCAATAAGGTCTATTAATTGAGTACTGACGCATGGCTCGATCGAACTCAGAGTTCAAAAAAGCTGCTTCTTCTTGCTTGAAATTACAAGTTCGTGTTATTAGCCTGCCTTGTTTTTTTCGATTGCGTGTATTATCTATGTTTCTGTGTTTCCTGTTGAACCCTAGCATTTTTATGATGTTTTTCTAATAGCCGTTGATTTAGGTAACGAAGGTTCCTATCTGCGAATCATTTCCTAACCAGTTCCATCCGTTTACACAGCAACATTTAACCAGCTTTTTTGTCACTTAACCACTAATGATTAGCAAGGCGAAATCCATGAATTCGATCATGCGTATGTATGATTTACGAATATATGTTTGAAAATGTTCTTTTCACACTCTACAGTATAAGTGGTTCAATATTTGCGCAATGTGTTGTGTATTTGAATATCAAGATATAAAGATTTGCATCTAATCGCAGTGTTGTCTTTGCAATCATATAGTTTCCATTTAATATTATGTATTTTACTGCTTCATGATGAATTTGTGCCTTGAATTGTTGCATTTTATTGAGCGCGTACTCAACGGGACGCGTGAGGTTTCCGCGGTCCAGTTCTGTTTCGTGATTGTCATAAAGTTTTACGATCCGTTGATACTGTTTTTTGACGTTTTACGCATCTGATCTTTTGTCAATCGATTTTTTAACCTCGTTCTTCCGTCTTTGAAGTTGCTTCGCATTCTTTTTTTGAAGCTGTTCGATTAATTACTGAAATTCGTTGGACGAATCGTCTACGGACGCCGGAACATATAAATGTGTAAATCTTTTACTACCATTCTGCCTCTGTATCGTACAATGTGGCTGCATATGTTTTGTTGTGCACCCGTCGTAACAGCGTTATTGTCTACTGTATTAGGAATTGCACAGTGTGAAAACACTATTTGTCGGTAACCTTATCGCAAAACATTGCTCGTTTAGGAACCAACCATATTTCGTAGGAACCTGTTATATAATAGGAAAAGTCTATTGTTATAAGTTGTTGTGGTGTAGTTATGTTTGCATCAAGTTGCATTGCTGATTTCAAAATTAAATCTTGACGGGAATAGTTGGTTAATGCGTTCTTATATCTAAACTTTCGTACTTTAAATGTAATCGACAGTAAATTGACTATCACTTCCGTAGCTAGGTCGCTTTCCAGTTGAGCTTGTCTGGGCGAAACATTTGCAGCTGCTATGGATGCTAGAAATCAGCTGCTTTTCATGGATTCTGAAATGAACGTCAGTGACAGTTGAAATAGTTGCTCATCGCTTTTTGCTTTTATTCGTTCATCTCTTTCAGTATCCACTATTTGTTCTCAATCAGGCAGCCTTCTCGATAATCATGGAAATTCAGTATGCTTCATGGAACAGATTTTCAGGTATACACTGCAAGTTACTTTATAGCGCAAGAGGATTAAAGTCTTGGCGGAGTTGCATTCAAAATATCAAAACTTTATTCCAGCTAGTTTGTTCAATAACATCTAATAATCGGCGACAGAAGTATCTAAGTTCTCGTCACACTAACGCAGATTTGCCCTTATGGAGAGTCGTGCATTTATCCGCGTGAATGACCAATCTGTCCTTCTTTAGCGCATACGTCTTGCACCTTCCGTCCGTGATTTGATGCCTCAGAGTCTCCGATCTCATCTGGTCACTTTTAATGACAGAATGCATTTTCGCCTGTTCGACAGCGTCATCCCTTACGAATCGACAGCCCTTTCTACTTGTTAACAAGTCAGAAGTTTTAAATCATTCATGCACAAACATATGCATACGACTGTTCCTTCAGATGGTGATTTTCTGGTACTCTGCGCAAGGGCCATCAGTCAGTCCTCGATCTGACTTCCTTCAAAACTAATGCCTCCTGTGTACTCATAGTAATTGCCTGTTGCAATTCATCAGTCATCTGATTTATGGTCTGCCATAAGTGTCATAATGCTGCGACACTGCCAAGAGAATTCATGTTCAGAATTTTTCATGTATTATCGTGATCATGTATCTAAATCACGATCTGTTGTGTTTGAAGAAGAGCGGCTCACAACTGATCTGTTAAAAAGAGTTTCATTGTCAACGCACCTTTTTTGTAGGCGGACAGATGAGTCTTGCTACAGTATTAGCCATTGATCAGTTATTGAGAAGAATTAGCTTTATTGTCTCTTGTGAGTACCGAGATTATTACTTTTATGCGGCAACCATCAAATCGCTTTGTTTACCACTGTTAAACAAGTATCTTCCATTTGCTGTCGATATAGACTTGATTTGAATTGGACT